TTTTTTAAATCACTCGTTTAAACCACCAGGTCTCGAGTATGTTATAAAATTGTTTACTCGTCTTGGCGAATCCGGCTATAACCTCACAGATGGCGAGGCTGGTGCATTCCTTCCCTATTTAGTAATGAAGGTTGGTGATCCAAAGGACAATATTCGACGTGACATACGTACTATCTTTCAGCTCGTTGTGAGCCTTTATCCCGCAAGTCGCCTTTTTGTTTGTCTTTCTAATGGAATCAAGTCGAAAGTCAACAAAGCTAGACAAGGTGATCTAAACTTTATACACACTTATGCTTCATTATTATCACTATTAGCGTTCGTTTTTTATTTTCCATTCCACTCGTGATTAAGTTTTTTGTAAGAATTTACAAATGAGATATTCAAAACAATACGATTTGTTTACATTTCGATTAAAATGTAAGTTATCTTAGGATTTTAGCCTATCTCATTGCGAATGTAGGAGTTTTCTTACCATTGGTTAACATTTTATTTCACTCTTGCTCTTTCCCGGTTGCATCACGTGAATTAATAGTAATATGCTTTTTAATTATCAAATATATATATATATATATATACCTTTAGAGACCTAGAAAAATATCTTCACTTTGCATTATTACTGATTACTTACTTCAGAATTTGTCTATATTTCCCTAAAATAATGATGTTTATTTGACATTATAATGACTGATTAATTTTCTTCTGACTCGCATTAACATTTTTTAATGCTATCCCATGAAAACATCCGCAAATAATTTAGAATGCCTTGAGGAAATGGGTAGTCTTATTGGACGGTTTGGTATCAGTGTCTGTCAGCCCACACCCCAAGTAGCGCTGAAGCAAATGGCCACTCAAATCGCTGATCGAGACAGTGGTGTCAGAACCTCTGCCTTGAATTCACTTGTTTCGGCCTATGCAATCCTCGGAGAGAAAATATGGAAGCTGATCGGAGAGGTAGATCTAACTGATTTCTATTTTTTGTTTATGCCGTTTTAAGTTAGGTCTACGTCATATATCCTTTTTTGTTACTAATAGCAAGTTTGACTTTCTCTTGATTCCCGATCCCCAAATGTGATGGTTCTACTTGATTTGGGTAGGCTAATTGTAGACGCCTTCTCTTGGTTTCCTTGTAAAAGTAAGAATATTACCTTTGTCCAGTCTTATTTCTGCTGATATTGCTGTTCCCTGATCTAGGTCTTCCTGCCAATACGACCAAGTTGCGGAAACAAGGTCAAATAATTAAACGAGGCTGCGACCATACAAAATACCACACTATCCCGGTCTTCATGTCTTCAGAAAATAAAAAAACTGTCTCAAAAATAGCGTAAACCATAAGACAGCTAGCAAAAAAATATGAATGAAGAGACCTGTAGAAATTTATCCTATATAAGTAGGTTCTTGAGATTACCAGATGGATCATATAAATGAAATGTATTCACTAAACTTCGTTGAGGTGATGAAAAATTGTTAGTTTGATTTTCGCACAATGATATGAGCAGCCCTTACGCTTCCATTGAATTTCATATATCCTAGCTTCCCAAAAAATATTCTCATCCAGGATAATTGCAATTTTGACATCGCCTTGTTCTCCTTAGCCATTTCAGCTGGACTCGATTCATGATAATGCAGTGTATAATCTCGAAGCATTGACGAATAAGCTACATTGCCACATGTGCCCTTGGGTCAGAGGAAGGATATGAATTTAAAGGCCAAACATTTTGCCATATCACATTATGTAGTGGGATTGTCGATAAGCAGTTGTAATTTCTATATCAATAGATTAGATTAATTATTTCAGAGATATAAGAATCAAGCTGGTGTGTTCTTTTATTTACTCGCGGTATCCTTTAGCTTTATATGGTTTGTTCGATCTCGCTTTCGCAAATTGGTCGGGCAGTTAGGGAGATCATGTGGACACGCTTGATCCTCTGTCGCCTACTTTAGTATTCGTTATTTCCAGCATCGGATCATTGACTTGATACATTCCCAAACATTTCACCAGCAACGTACTCGGCATCATCAATGAGAGACGCCATCGTTAAAACAGTTAAAATTTATCAGTGGTAATTGAAGGCAATTCTCTTAAGCAATTATCTTCTCAAGAGCTGTGGCATCACCTATCAAATTTATTTTTTTGTTCTAACTTTAGTGCTGCATCGCTAAGTCACATCATATGACCAATCTACATAATCAACACATATTTACATTCAAATATATATAGATATTGGGGGAATACATTTGGAGAAGCAAAACTATGTAAAATTCAATGAAAGCATAGCGCCTATTCATATAATTGTAAGAAGTTTCGACTACCAGTCTTTCATCATCTTAACGAAATAGGGTGAATGCATCTCACATATATGATCGACTTGTGGTCTTAAAATT